AGGACTTTGTTGCAGTACTTGCATGTGCGGTTGGCTGCTCCCGGGCCCCTGCATTCCGGCTGATGTTGCGGTAAATCACAGTTCCTAAACTGCACATTACATACAGGGCATGTGACCAACGGATGTCGTCCGAGCCGCGGGGCTGCCGCATCCGCCGCCGCAGGTCGCCGTCGCACTCTGGGATTTCTTGGATTTCTTGGGGCCGGGGGAAGCCCCCGACCATTATCCCCCATGGGTCCCTCCGGTAACCGCATCCATGACATCGCGTGTGGCGACACCCTACCCGAAGCCCCCCTGTCAGCCAACCTATCCGCCACCTCATTGCCGTGTACCCCAGTATGTCCATACACATGTCGAAACCAGAGGTTAAAAGTACGACGTACCGCGTTGACAAACGCCGACACTGACTCCGACAGCGCGCCATGTTCCCTATCCCTGGTGAGTCCCGTAGCTATACCGTACGCATACTCCGAGTCATACAGTATGGTTGCTTTGCGTTCCGCATCAGGTGGGAGTCTACCATCTTATTTCTTTCCTCAAACGTGCACTAAGGCGGGGAACACCCGAGCGTAAAGGGCGGAGCCCGTAAACTTGCGCTAACCGAGTCGGACTCTTCGTTTTACTCAAAAAGGGCAAAGGGGTAACGTCGTTCGAGAGCAACCATGCTGAATGCCGTTTGGCATAACGAGCTGCCCCCAAGGAGGGCCAAGGGAGTGGCTCAGCAATGGTTGAATGCAAAGGTGAGGGCGGGTGGGACAAAGTTGATTCACTTCATGCCGAAGGAAATGGACTTCCCTCCCCCCTTCCCTTGAGAAGAAATGCGGATACGACAAGGTACTCGCAAGACTCAAAGGAAACAAAGTTGAAAAACTGGTGCACTCGGCTTTCAGAGAAAAACCGTTGATTGTTCAAAGGAAATAAAGATTTATCCCTACGCTCCGCTCCGGGACGAAAATCTTATTTCTTTCCTCAAACGTGCACTAAGGCGGGGAACACCCGAGCGTAAAGGGCGGAGCCCGTAAACTTGCGCTAACCGAGTCGGACTCTTCGTTTTACTCAAAAAGGGCAAAGGGGTAACGTCGTTCGAGAGCAACCATGCTGAATGCCGTTTGGCATAACGAGCTGCCCCCAAGGAGCCCCAGAGAGCAGCAGCTCAAAAGGGCCAATCGCATAGCAGAGAGTCTCTGCGGACCCCTTGCCTTATGAGATGCTGGAAGGAGTCACGACTCGGATCGTCTGCGCAATTCGAGTGGGTTGGCACACGACCAAGCCACGGCCTGCATAACGACCGATCTTCCAGCCTCAAGAAAGACTCGACGATTTTCGCACCTGTCAAGGTAGAAGATCTGGCTGACGTCAAAGCTCCGCGAGCTGCTTCGTTGTCTAAGTAAAAGACAGAGTAGCTGTCATGGATGTGCCGCTCCCAAAGGGTGAGTGCTGTCCACACCGCTAGCAACTCGATCTCATAGATAGGATGCGAAGAGTGATTGTGAAGTCTCTCAGTAGAGGCTTGGTTCAGTTTGACCGAGAAGAAAGCCAGGGGCACGCCTTGGCTATCGTGCAGAATGCCTCCCACACAAGCAAAGTTGCCCTCCAGGCTGCCGTCAGTAAAAATCAAGAAAGTTCGCTGCAAACTCCTCGAAATTTTTAGCGGCTCAGAATGGAGAGCTACGTCCCTGAGGAACGTGAGGGACTCTCGGAGTTCCGTAGGCAGCGCGCCTTTTGATGCACTTCGATTCACCCAGTCGCTCAGGACGTTCAAAGCTTGAGAGGATCTGCGTCCAAAAAGAAAAGAAGTGTACCAGTGGAGCCTGCCTCGCAAGCTTTCGGCTTCAGCGTGCGAAAGGCGGTTGGACTCTAGAATGCGGGTGATTGTCGCACGCAGCTCATCCCCACGTTCTTGAGTGTGACCGATGGTCACATACCCTTCGCCGAAATGGCTCAAATCGATGATAAGACCGAGCGCTTTGAAAGCCCTTGCAAACACAGTGGCTTTCTTGCCAGCACGTGCAAAGTACACGTGCAAGAGGTCAAGAAAACTGGTGGCTACTTCTTCCACTAGGTCGCAGTCGGAATCTTTGGAGAAGATCGGGAAATCGTCAAAATAGTTGGTCCATGGGAGTCCCAATGCATGGGATCCCAAGAACCAGATCGCAGCTGCACATCGGAGAAAGCTTGACACACTACCCGTCGCTCCGAAAGGCAAGGAATTCACTTTGAAGGTGCGAACGTGTCCGCTTGAAGTGTCTTTGACGCCAATCCGTAACAGGTCACGATCGAAGGGATGTGTGGCGTACTGTTTGTACGCTGCAGTCAAATCAAGTGTCTTCCCTGAGATGCTAACGCCTTTGCTGCGAGGGTCAAGCATGGCTCGCAAGAGGAAGGCAGCGATGTATTCGACGCTCTGCAATCTGTATTTCTCAGGGATGCCTGCTAACAAGTTGTAAGCACAAGCACGGCAGTCGTCAATGACTCTGACCTTTGGACCCTGTAAAAGCCCAAACCGCTTGGCAACAAGGACCGCAGAAAGATCTGGGTTTTCGTCTTCCTCAATCCAACCTTTGTCAACTTCTTCAAGAGTTTCAGCCCAAGCACGTCGAGACACCTCATCAGGAGCCTGTTTGGAGAGCTTCGTCAAGGTGGCGGTGTTTCTGGACTTGGCCATAGAGAGCTGACTTTTTAAGGTGGAGGCGGGAGGCTTAGGGTCAAAGGTAAAAAGTCCCGATCTACAAACCCAGCCCGTAAGCCTAAACCCTTGCGTCACGTGCTTCACAAGGTGGCGGTCTGGGAAGTCGTGCTGAGTGAGCAATTCGTCCATCAACAGAGTTGGCTTTTCATCCAGAACCTGCGCCACATGAACGGGCCACTCCTTTTTGCACTCCTCCTGGGATTCGGATAGGTCTGACCGTAGTTCGGTCCATCGCCGAACTTCATGCAAACCTTTGTCTGGCTGTTTGACATTGCTGTTCAGAAGGTTGTCTATCAGCAAGGTCATGTGCGGATCGGCTTCGACATCTAGAAGGGATTTTGGGTGACCGGCTGCCACAGCTCGACGTAAAAAGTCATCCCGTTCACGGGGAATGCCAATCCATACAACTTCAAGCACTGGAGAATGCTCGGCCGGAGGCAATAAGCCGCAGACATCAGAGAAATCCTTGGTTGGTGTGTGCACATGGTGCTTGCAATGCTTAGTGGCCCATGTCCAGGGGCTCGACAAGACATCATCGACCTTGCACAAGTCAACAGAAGGTAAAACGCAGACCCGAACAAACCCCGGATCAACAAGTTTGCGTCTTACTGCGGGCTCCTTTAGGGTAGCATCTCAGGAGCTGGAGCACAGGTTGCTCGGCACGAAGAGGCACTGCCCAAGCATCATATTTGCAGAATTCGCTGACTAATGGCCGGGCTTTACGAGATTGCTTGCCCATAGCAGGCCGCAGGTCACGACCCGGAGGACCAAACAAAGATGACGTACTCGGCGTCAAGCCTGATTGCTGGCACAGTAACTCTACAGCACGATCCCAAAGCAAATGAGGCCACTGCGGGGCCGAAGCAGCTTGACTATAATGCTTGTGGTCCTTGGAGCAGGTTGCCTGTAAAGGGCGCAACAAAGCAGTCGAGGCCCACCAGAAAGCGCGGCGATCCTGGGCCCCTCCATGCATACATTGGTCAAATGTAGTCCATTCACCGTCGGCAGCTTGGAAGAAGTGTTGGCAAGACTGCATGTGCCAGAAGCGCGACGTAGCAGGGTGTAGAATCGCAAAAGGAACTCCTACTGCCTTGCAATGCGAGCAAAGCTGGAAGATAGCATCCACCAGCAACTCGGCGAAACTCCAGGATCCAGTTTTTGACGTGAAGAAGGTACTCAAGCACGGGACAGTGAACTGCACCAATGACGTAGCACTGGCATGCTCGGAAATCACCTCCAGGAGCACCGCAAGCTCATCGGCCTGCGTTATGTCGAGAGGTTGAATTGGGAATTGGGCACGCTGAGGCTTAAGGTCGAAGGCTAGGGCTCTAAAGCCGGCTTTGCGCGCGGCTTTGCAAAAGGCGGCATCGCCAGCGAATACATCTATAATGACTCCAGATATAGCATCAGAAGCAGCTGTAGTCGTATGGCTGAGTGCTGGAACCGAGGCAGGTGCATCGGTAAAACCTGGGAGCACAAAACCCAGGGACCTCAAGCAGCTCTCATCCGAAACTGGAATTTTGGAAATACCATACACACTGAAAGCCACAAGTACAAGACGGGGACCGTTGGTCCAGTCTAAAGTCTCGTGTTCGACCGTCGCATCAAACGTGATGGGGCCTGCTGAGACCAGCAAGTCCTCAGGACCACTAGGGTAATGCACCCTCACTGCACCACCGCAGAATGGGCGAAGAGGTGCAACGCCATTCAAAGACCCAGGGAGATTTCTGAGGTCACGGTGCTTGCGAGTTTTTACATCTTTGAAAAGGCCGACACTTGTGAAGTGAAAATTCGAGAATATACTGGCGGCGAGAGTGGCAAGGAGACGCGAGGCCACAGGGTAAGCCCGCGCATTATGCCTGACACCTACAGTGCCGCAGTGGTAGTACGCTCCAGTCGTGAAGGCACGTCCGGACGGGACGGCTCCATCACTTCGAGTTGGAGTCTCGCTTGGTAGCATATTCGAGAGTTCGAGCAGCTGCTCAGATGAGCAACCGCCTTGCTCAAGAATCTTTGAAGCAAGTGACTCACAAGGGTCACCTGGGACACTGGATGAACTCCCCTTGAACGCAGCGAAGCTGAAATTGAACGCGGAACAAACCGCGTTGACATCAGCTTCAAAAGGAGAAAGCACAGAGTCACGTCCGGAATCATCGTGAACATTTATGAAAGGTTTGGTGACACGCTCGACGTCATCTTGGCCGACAGGCTCGGGGCGTTGCCCTGACACGCGGAATTCACATGCAGGATTAGGGCTGCGAGATCGCAGCCTGGACCCTTCAGAAGAGGGTGCAACACTGGTAGGAGCTAGTCACTCCTTTGGGGAAGACGAATCACTCTTGTCGCCCTTTCCCTTGCCTTTCTTGCCTTTGCCTTTGCCTGCGTGGGCAAACCAGCAAGCGGAATGCCCATGGCCTAAGCGCCTGCACGTCATGCAACCGTGAACCCCACGGCTGCAAGCAGGCGGACTGCCCTTGCACTCGGCATTGCACTTACCGAGATTGAACTGCCAACAGAACCGGTGGCCTGAAGAATCAGCATGATACGGACATGACTTCAACTCCTCAGGCAGATTTGCAGTTTTGATAGGGGGCCTTGAGCTTAGCATCTCTTTTCTTTTGGCGTTTGCTGGGCCTCAGATCAGGAAGGGGTGATCCGACCTCACCTGCGAGACTAGGCGAAGCGACTCCCTGAGAGGCTGATCCACGCTGAAGCGGCTGGAGATAGGTGGTGATCCGAGGGTCATGACGGAACCGATTCATGAGAACACCCATCTCCATCACACCACTGCTGTCAGGTTTGACGCGCTTGACCTCACGTGCTAAAAGCAAGAAGATCTCAGAATCTGCACGCAAAATTTGCTGCATTGAAATGGGCGCGTATCCCGGAGGAACATCCGAGGACAAACATCTCAGCAGAGACGCGACCCACTTCTCGTGAGTCTCCCACTCCATGAAGCCGCACATGAAGAAAGCCAAGCCTCGGCGCTGGAGACACCATTGGACCTCCAAGGGAGTCCCATGCTCAGCGACGATTTTATCGGGAGCCGGGGCCAAGGTGACTGATTGCTCCTGCACAGTCAAGTACTTTTGCTTATCGCGAAGCCCCAGCTTGAGTTCGGCATCCCTCTTAGTGCACTTCGACGGTGGGATCCAAACCACCGCATTTGACTCGCCCATGTGGGCAACTGCGTCAATGAGGGCATGACTTGGCTCCATCTCATCCTCGATGACGAGGCCTTTCAAACGCTTCTTGGCATCCGCAAGTCGGGCGGATTTCTCCGCTGCTGGAAGTCTCTTTCCGGCTTCTGTTGAATCCCCTTCTACGAGGGCGCGCAACTGGGCAATGACCAAAGTCGAGGATTCGAAGTGGAGTCTTTTTAGCTGGCTCACGCGGCCTATGGACGCTGGGCTTTGGACAACGGAATCAGCAAAGGACTTGAATTCTGCTTCTGTGGGTTGGGCCTTCGGAGTTCCACAACTGAAGGCCAAGGCTGAGTGAGTTCGCACCCCCGAGGCTTGCAGCAATGTGTGAAGGGAATCGTCGCCACATATCTCCTTACACCTAGCTGCAAAAGCAGCCTCGCTGTCAACGAGGGTCATGGCAGCTCACAGCACTATAGACCTGTCCGTCCTGAGACAAGGCTGCTGCAACCCAACTCTCAGCGTGTGATTCAGCAAGCAAACTCACATGTTGAGAGAGAAGGATCAAGAGCAGAGAGAGAGAGAGAGAGAGAGAGAGAGAGAGAGAGAGAGAGAGAGAGAGAGAGAGAGAGAGAGAGAGAGAGAGAGAGAGAGAGAGAGAGAGAAAAGAGAGAGAAGGAAGAAGTGAGCAGAAGAGATGAGTTGCGGCACATCGAGGGGCTGCTGCCTGTCCTGATGATTTTGGCTCACGACTTGACATGAAAACCCCTCTACCATGACACGCACTCACTCACTCTTTCCACTCTCTCGGCAAAACTCAGTCGCGCCCAGGGTTAGCTAGGGATCTCTTGCACTGCTTGCACACTGGGGTATCATACCTCAGCCGGCCAGGCTCAATGAAGGGGCTGTCGCCAGTCTGCAACGGTCTTCCGCACAGCGTGAAGCTTCGGGGGCCGGTCAACAGCAAATGCAGAGTCTTGAGCTTGCGATGCTGCATGAAGAAAGTACCTTCAGGAGGCGAAGGCGGGGGCATCAGCCTTGGCCCCGGATTTTCTCCCTCAGAAGAATCAGACGACTCGGATGAGGAGCCTTCCGACGATGTGCCTCCGTCAGAGGAGACACCGTCATCGGGATTGACTTCGGAGATGTCCTCCGGAACTATCTCAAAAGATCCCTGCGGCGCTCGATCGGGCTCAAAACTAAGGTCGTCTACACCCTCAGAAAAATCGGGACTCGGAGGTTCTGTTCCATCCGATTTGACACTCATGACTTCACCTCCCGCATGGGAAGTGCACGCCTCTGACTTCTCAGCCTTCGATGCATGTGACGGTGTCCCCAAAGAGACAAGATCCCACTGAGAGAAACTTGCAAGACCCCTAGCGCTGCTTTCGCGGTTGCTGCTGCCAGGATGGACGTCGCCCAGCGGCTGAGGTTCACTGGGAGCAGCATGGGCGACACCTGTGGGCAGCTCGGCCCCTATCAATTCCTCATTGGTGCGCCCAGGAAAGCGAGCAGCCCTGCCAGCATCTGGTGCGGGTCTTTTGTCGGCGGGCCCCCAAGCTCGAGCGCAACCTCCACACTGCCGGTCATCACCCTCCTAGACACCTGCGCGGCCTGAAAGCAGAGGCTCTGCATGACCTTGGGCGACACCCCCTGGGACTGGTGTCCCCAGTTGCCCGACGCCATGACGCTCATGGAGAAGAGGCTGGAACAGCTTCGCGAAGCGCCGGTTGGCCTTCAAGCGCCGCGCCGCCGATTGGAAGGTAGTGCGGCGTCGCCCGGCTGCCGTTTCCATGCCGAGGTCCTTTGTGGTTTGGCGCACCGGGGGGTCGTCCCTCCCCAATTTGCGGCGGAGTGCGCGTTCAGCCTCCGGTGAGCTAGCCAGGAAATGTGTCTTTGAGGCAGACACCTCATTGCCCTCAGCTTCCAGCACGTTGTGGAGACGGCGGAAGAGGGTGATGATTCCGGTGGCAGCGCGCTCCGGGGTCTTATGAACGACATCGGCCGAGACGTCGTCCACCCAACATCCTACGAAGTCCGCCAGGGTGCCTGCACAAGCAGCCCTGATGGGCTTGCCTATCGATAGTTTGGATAGGAGAGGAGCTAGCGGACAACCCGCTACTATTCCTCGCGCTGCGAAAACGCATGGCGATGCGACGGAGTCGGCAGTCACGACGCGACCGCCACGATAGGCTTGCATCCCTAAGTTGAGGAGAAGCGGCGGAAAGCCCCATTGGGCTGCTTCTTCACACAACTTTTCGTGGCTCACGCGTTCATAAAATGTGCTCTAAGAAAATGGTGCAACGGTGCACCTTGTCGACTCGGCACGCTTCGTACAGAAACGCGCGTCGCAGGGATGCATCGTGGGTGCTGCGGGAAGGCAGGGCCGAATCCCACCACAAAGAGGCCCGGTTGGCCTCGATCCAAGAGCTGGCGAGCTCCCATCGGCACTTGATGCCTAATTTCAGGAAGGTGGACATCAGGCCGATTGGCCTTTCCACCCAAGCCTCCTTCAAGCCCCCTTCAAAGCTCTCTTCAAGCCTCCTTCAAAGCCCCCCTTTAAAGCCCTCTTCAAAGCTCTTTAAAGCTCCCCTTTAAAGCCCTCTTCAAAGCCCCTTAAAGCCCCCCTTTAAAGCCCTTCAAAGCCCCTTGAAGCCCCCCTTCAAAGCCCCCCTTAAAGCCCCCTTAAGCCCCCCTTCAAAGCCTCTTTGTCAAAAGCCCCCCTTTGCTCAACCTTAAAGCCCCTTTAAAGCCCCCCTTAAAATCTATCAAGTGGATAATGACGTACCGTATCGGGCTCTATGGGCCCCTCAGCCTTTGACAAAGGGAGAGCTTAAGGGGAGGCTGTAATTTGGCGGTTTTTGCGTGGTGGCCGATGTCCTCCAGCACGCACCTCTGCGATATCAAAACTGGAAACATCTTGATTTTGGGAAGCTGGGTCTGGCTGCTGCCACATGCTGCTGGTCTGCCTGTGCGCGGCTTCTCTGTCACATGGCATCCTCTGGGAACCATTCGCAAAACCCACACGTCGGAAGACTGGGATTCTGTGAAAATCCCATTTGAACTTGGTATGTCCTTTTTTTTTGGGCATGTCTGAATCTGTTCGGAGTGCTTTAGTTAGGTCAGTGACTGCACGTTTGTTTCGTCTTGTTTCGACAGACAGCTGCAGCCTATAGCGCGACACTGGATAGAATTAAAACTTGCTATGTCGTTGGAACAGCTAGCCGAGATCGGCGGTTTGTGTACCTGAACCGGAGCCCTGCACCATGATTCTTTGGGCAGAGTGCTTGCAGTGTTGGCTCCGCATCATCTGCGTGGTATCCGAGCCCCCAGTGACTTTTGGCAAGCTGTCTCTTCGCGAGCGACTGTTGCCAACGATGCCTAGCGCTGTGTAGCCGACGGCTTGTTGTAAGAGCATGCTCCACCACTCGCGTGACCAGATCCAGGGCTTCACGCGCTCGAGTGGGCTCAGGCAGAGGAACGTAGCCATGCGGGATTCAGCCTGCCGCAGCTGCGAAGTCTGCCCGGCGCAACGTCTCGCTGGCTGGGCTCCGTCGAGGAGCGCGCTCCATGTGGGGCAATGCTCCAGCATTGTGCTGCGATGCAAAACACCCGCATCCATGCACGTCGCCACGTTGAAACATACCCTGAATGATTTTTTTTCCCACACATTTTTCCGCCAGCAGCTGTATCCGGTTCTGAACAACGTCAGCAGTACGTGAGCACCGGGTTCAGGCCGACTCATCGCAGTGGCAGGTGGCTCGGCCCATCCGGGTCGCAAGACCTCCGGCCTGGCGCTTTGTTTGTTGGACGGCCACGGAAGGGCAACTCCGGAATGTGCGCGCATGCCGTCGCACCAGTACCGCGACTCAAGACCGTCGGCACGCCGATGACTTGCTTGATTCTCCAACTTCACCGGTGCCTGAGTGCCCCGCGTCGTTATTCTTACGCAGCAATCCGAGGCCCCCCTTTAAGCCCCCTTAAGCTTCCCTTTGAGCCTCCCTTTAATTCCCCCTTAAGTCCCCCTTTAAGCCCCCCTTTAAGCCTTCCGGAAGCCTCCCTTGAGCTCCCCTTTAAGCCGCCCGCGCAATCACACACACACACACACACACACAAAACAAGAAGAGAAGCCACACGAAATCGTTTTATGGGTGGTTTTGGCGAAGAAAACAAAATGAGAAAAGCAAACTTAAAGAAACAAAACACAATCACAAGCTCCCACGCAATCACACACACAAAAAGAAGAAGCCACACAAATAAAATGAGAAAAGCAGACTTAATGAAACAAAAGAAATCAACACAAACACAAAACAAGAAGAAGCCACACGAAATCGCTTTTTGGGTGGTTTTGCGAAGAAAATAAAATGTAGCACCCATACTTTGGCTTCGAAACCCCCCTTCATCCTCCCTCTCGTTCTTAGGGAGCATGACGTACTGGGTAAAGGAGGCTGGTGTGGCAACACGCCCTCCAGCTCCACCTCCCTCCAGAGGTCTGCGAGGGTGTGCACTTCCTCGATGGAGAGGGATTTCAGGAAAGGCACATCCCATCCGTCGAGCCTGGGGGCCTTGCACGGCATCGAGCGGATGTACCGATACATTTGTCGCCCCGTGACAGCGGGCAGTTGCCTGGCTTGCTCAACGGCTCGTTGGCGAAGCTCCGGAAAGTAGGGGAGTAGACTTCCCCGGGCTTGCCACAGAGTGGCCCAGTACTTGAGTCGCTCATATGGTCGAGACTCTGCTGTCACTTCAGTGAAAGGCGGTTTCAGCCTTCCGGGCCCGTTGATGCTCCTCGTCGCGGAGCTGTCGGACCACTGCAAGGGTTGACGGTCGGCCATCCTCCGCCGCTCTGAGGGCACAGAGAAAGTCCTGGGGAGAGAAGGCCTCAATTCCCCCTCCTTCATTGGTGAAATGTCGTGCCGCCATGCCGGCGGTGATGCCCGCGAAACGGCAGCTCAGAGGATCCGACCCGATCTTCCCCAGACCGGAGACAACAAAGGCCGGGTCGGCGGGAGCCACCTCATCCCGCAGGGCTCCTTAGTAGCCGGCTAGCTGAGGCAACGACACAAGACCATGTTGGACGTTGAGGGTGAAGGACGGCGTGGGGCGAGAAGGGTACCTTCCACACCGTCTTTACGCTGGTCAAAGACACCAGCGGTCTCGACAAAAGGGCGTAGTCGAGAGTGTTGCCCGTGTTTCTGGTCGGCCTCTCAGGTGCAAGAAAGGTCCCTCCCACAGTCTCGGCCCACGAGGTGCCTTGAAACTCGGAAGGGGGGCGCGTTCCAGTCTCCAACCAATCCAGTTGCGGAACTCGCGGAGTGCCGGCCTAAGGGCCATAAGGACTTCCAGGTTGCACACTGCGTGGATTCCCACTCCGCTTTGAAGGTACACGCAGACGACCATGAGGGTCCATCGTACGTAGCCGCAGCCTTCCTCCGTGATCATGCCACGCTTGACCCTGC